GGAAGGAAGGAAGGAAGGAAGGAAGGAAGGAAGGAAGGAAGGAAGGAGAGAGGGAGGAATGGGAAGGAAGGGTGAGGGAGGGAGGAAAGAGAGATGAAAATGGGGAGGGAGGGAAGAAGACAGTTGAAGTGGGATGGAGGAAGGAAGGAAGAAAGGGGAGGGAAGAAGAGAGGGAGGCATGCAGAGGGAAGAGGGAAGGTCAGAAGGAGGAATGGAGCAATAGGAAGAAAAGAAAAAAGGGAATGAAGGAATATACCAAAGTCCATGAACTTGATGTTCTCTTGCTGGGGTCTCTTCACCAAGACTGTTTTCTTCTTAGAGGCTTTGATCTGCTTCAAAAGGGCCCGCTGGATGTCGGCAGCCGTGTAAGAAGTAGCTGCAAACATCAAGGAAAAGAAGAAACAGGAGCCTTGAGGGGGGGGCATCCTCCACCTTGAAGCCGGCAAACAACACACACACACACACACACACACACACACACACGCACACACACGCACACACACACACACACACACGCACGCACACACACACACACACACACGCACACACACACACACGCAGAGCTCCCCCTCAACCGGGCTCAGCTTCCCTTCCCTTTCATTTTGCTAAGCAAAAGACCTGCCTTAAAAGGGGTTTCGAAATGAAAAGCAAAAGACTGCTTTTATGTGTGTGTATGTGTGTGTGTGTGTGTGTGTGTGTGTGTGTCCCCGTCCACTGGCTGATAAAGGCTTTGAACTAGGAACAGGCCCTTCGGCTTGAAAGAAAGAAAGGGGGGGGGGGGGAAGGGGGGGGGGGGGGGATTTTGAACGCTGATCCCGCATTTTAAAAGAGCAGAAAATCGGGGACCGCATTCCGTGGCATCGTTTTTTTGCCTGCCCAGAAATTCCAAACAAACATCGCTTCTGGGGGAGGGGGGGAAAAATTATAATCTCCCCCTGCCCTGAATCCTTCAGCTTTCAAAATTGAGAGAAGGATGGCAGCCACGACCTCAGGACAATACAAATACACAGGCTTTCAATTCCCCATCAGCCTGGCGAGAGAAGAGGGGAGTTTTAAGTCCACGACAGACCCAGCCTGAGTGGTACTGAAGTGAAAGAATGGGACAAAGGACTAGGAAAAAAAGCTCTTTTAGCCCAGTCTACCTTGTAGGGTTGTTGTGGCAGGGGAAAATGGGAGGAGGGTTTAGATGTAGCTGCCTCAGGAATTCTGGGAGCTGAAGTCTGTTAAGGTATTGGGATTTAAGAGCCGACCAGCAGTAAGGCTGATGCGATATAATGGCTGATGCAATGAAGATGAATCGGCGTTGGTATTGCTTCTTTAAGACGGAGGATGGGTTCTACCCCTTTAAGAGGTGTTTATATAAGGCAGCCATTAGAGGGCGTTTCCTCTCTCCTTGTGTCCGCTATTCATTGCAGAGTTCTCCGTGTAGAGTTAAGAAGAGGATTGATTGCTTGTGAGGTATTTGCCCACCATGTATATTTCTGTATATGTCTTGTATATAAACCGCTGTTGAAAGTCTAAGTCTGTGTTGTGTTTTGCTCCTGGGTTGTCTCATAATAATAGTCACGCTGCAAACACTCTGACAAAGTCCACAGATTGTAAAGGGGGCGTAGCTGCCCACCTCTGCTCAATGATTGAATTCAAGCCAACCAATAGATCAATCATACTCTAACCAAGAGGTGCGCCTGGCTCAATGGTGTGGGGGAACCAGGTGCAGACTTACCTGGGTCAAAATGGGTCTCCACGATGACCCTGACGGCGCTGCTTTGGCCCAGATGTCGCACCTGGACACTCCTGAAATCCCTCTTGACCTCTGAGTTGCGGAAAAGCTCATCCAGCTGCCAGAAAATGAAACCAAACAACGACAAGAAAAAAAAGTTAGGGACCAGCAGGTCTTTTGATTTATCTCAAGGGCTGCCCCAAAGAAGAGGGAGTCAAGCTATTCTCCAGAGCACCTGAAGGCAGGATGAGAAGCAATGGGTGGAAATTAATCAAGGAGAGAAACTAGCTAGAATTGAAGAGAAACTTCCTAACAGGGTGGACAATTACTTAGTGCAATGCCTCCAGAAGTTGTGAATTCTCCAACACTGGAAGCTTTTAAGAAGAGATTGGATAAGCATTTGTCTGAAATGGTCTGGGGTTTTCTGCCTAAGCAGGGGGTTGGACTAGAAGACCTCCAAGGTCCCTTCCAAATGTGTTATTCTATTCTGCATTCTATTCTATTTTCTTCTATTCTGTTCTATCATAGCCTATTCTATTCCCATTCCCTATTGTATTTTATTCTCTTCTCTTCTCTTCTCTTCTCTTCTCTTCTGTATTCTATCCTATTCCTATTCTATTTTATTCTCTTCTCTATTCTTTCTATTCTATTCTAATTCTAATTCTGTTCTATTTTATTCTATTCCATTCCATTCCTATTCTATTCCATTCCATTCCATTCCTATTCTATTCTATTCTATTCTATTCTATTCCATTCCATCCCATCCTATGCTATCCTATAATATTCCCATTCCCTATTCTCTTCTCTTCTCTTCTCTTCTTTTCTCTTCTCTTCTCTTCTCTTCTCTTCTCTTCTCCATTCCATTCCATTCCCTCCCCTCTCCTCTCCAGTCTGCTTTTCTCTATTCTATTCTGCATTCTGTTCTATTTTCTCTTCTCTTTTACCTTATTCACCTATCAGGGATCTCCTCAAAAGCCGGCTAACTAGTGCAACAGCTGGATTTTAGTTGGGACGGGGGGGGAGGGACAGGGACGGACAGGAGTTGCGAGAGAGACACAACTTTCCCACTGCAAGTGGGGCAAAAGCCGCCATGGCCTCGTCCCCACCACCGCTGTGCTTGCTTACCACGCTTTCAATGCTTCGGGCTGTCTCGCCAAAGAGCTCCGATTTAGGATCGGCCATTTCCGGGGTGTAAAACAGTTCCTGGCCTTCCACCTCTTCCAAAATCAAGACCCCTTGGAAGACTTTGGTGGCTGCAGGGAAGAAACAGGGCAAGGGGAGACAAAGCCAGGAAGAAAGAGTTGGGCTAACGTGGCCATGAAAGCAGCCCCGGGAATCGCGGCCAATATATCGATTGCTCGACACGCAAGACCGTTCAAAGAGTGTTCAGTCCTTTTGGCAGAAAGGGAGAAAGCAGCGAGGTGGCGGCAGATGAGCAGCGCTGTGGGTTCAGGGTTAGTCTGGATGGATCAGAAGGAGGCTTATGGGGGGAGGGGGGGGTTAGTACTTTGAGGGTGGGCGCAGAGACCCGGGTAGCAGAAAACTCGGGTTGTGAGAACCGGCAAGAGTTTTACCATACATAGCTCCTCCAAGTTGCAGCCTGGGTAGGGACCCTCCTGGACCGGCTGGGTAACGAGAGAAAGAGGGTTAGCTGGGGCCGAGAGAGAGAGAGAGAGAGAAAGAGAGAGAGAGAAACACATCAACTACTGGAAAATAAGAGGAAGGGGGTTGCTAGCATGCAAACACCGGAACGAAAGAGGGAGAAAGAAAGGAAGGGGAAAAGAGAAAGGGGAATAAGAGAAAGCAAAGGAAGAAAGAGAAAGGAAGGTGGAAAGAAAATGAAGGAAGGAAGAAAAAGGAAGGAAGTAAAGAGAAAGGGAAGGAGGAAAAGAGAAAGAGAAGGAAAGAGAAAGGGAAGGAGGAAAGAGAAAGGAAGGTGGAAAGAGAAAGTGAAGGAAGAAAGAAAAAGGATGGAAGAAAAGAGAAAGCAAAGAAAGAAATGGAAGGAGGAAAGGAGAAAGGGAAGGAGGAAAGAGAAAGGGAAGGAAGAAAGAGAAAGGGAAGGAGGAAAGAGAAAGGGAAGGAAGAAAGAGAAAGGGAAGGAGGAAAGGGGAAAGGAAGGACGAGGGGACCTCCCCCACCATTTCCTTACAGGATTAAGGATGATCTGAGTTAAGAAATTCAGAGAGTTTGGGGAGAAAAAGCAGCACTGGGGATGAGCTGCATTTCTTAAACCACAAAGTCTTCAGTTGCAACACACCAGAGCCACAAAGAACCATCTTTACCAACCTTTATCGAAATGGCATCCTCCTTTTTTTCCTTTGCTTTCCTCTATTTGCAGTTACTTCTTAGAAATTACCCAGCCTAGGTCTTCAAAAACAGACTAGAATGGAGGAGGGAGCCAAACCTCCTATCGAATCATAATTGAAAGTGGAAGAGGAGGATAGGATATGATAACAGGCATTCAAATTTTATCCTCCTTTCCCCGTTTCCCCCCCTGGGTTTGGATACGTTTGTTAATTTGAAGAGGAGAATGCCTGGCTGCTACAGCTTTCATAATGAGGAATTTTACTGAATTTCCTTCCTTCCTTCCTTCCTTCCTTCCTTCCTTCCTTCCTTCCTTCCTCCCTCCTTCCCCTTCATCGGTCCCTCCCTCCATCCCTTTCCTTCCTTCCCTTCCTTCCCTTCCTCCCTGCTCTGCCACTCATCTCATAAATGTGACTTTTTTTACTCTGTTGCAGGAGACAGGAAGTTGGCATGTTTTCGCTCTGTGAATACAGACGGGTCTGAAAGTGAGGGAAATCTTTTCATGCCCCACATGTTAGGGATCGGCAGAGAGCTTAGCGGGCCAGGAGAAGTTGGTAGATTCTTAGCTTATCCATTTGAATTTTTGTTTTCCACAACGAGACCGGAAGGCTAAAGGGAGAAAGCGGCTGGAGCAGAATTAAGAAAGATGAGCTGTTATGTTTGCAGCCTAAACTCATACGCTCAATTCTGAGGCTTTCTGAGGGGACTCTGGATGCTACCTTGTTGGACTATCACAGCAGGGAGGGAAGGCTTTGGCCTCTCTCTTTAAAGCACCTGGAGAAAAGGTGAGGTCTGACTCTAATGAAGAAATCAGCAACATGTTGATCTGAAAATCACTTCTCAATCAGCTCGGCTGTCCCAT